GTGTAATACAGAATGTAATTGTTTGAACCGCATAAATAGCAAAATGTAAATAAAGAAGGTCTTTAGTATTTGGACTGAAAAAGAAAACGTAGTATTAAAGTAAAATACCCACGAATTTGCAATGTTAAATATTCTAAAATGATCAAAGAAGTTGATGCATTCGATAACTTTAATAAAAGTATTAGAGTAGTAAAAAAAATATAAGGAATTGAATAATCAATCTGCTTATGATATAGTATTCATCAGTCTTTATGAAAGTAATGAAGGAGAGATCACGAACGTAATATCAGAATTAAGAGGACTAACGATGGATAATGATAGTTTAATAATAGTTTTTATAGTATTTCCATATAATGAAGAGAATGAATTGGCAGAAAAATTAATTGAAAAGTCGGGAGCAATTTCCATTCTTTATACTCAAATTACATGAAAAAGTTAATTAATCTATTTATGAACATAGAAATAATTTACGCAGCTATTGATAATGCTGCATATGTTACATTATGTTAATATGAATATTAGGATAAATAAAAAGAATTTCTAAGATAATCTAAAAATTTCTATTTAGAAAAAGTCCTTAACATGTACTTGTTCATTTTAAAAATATATGTCACATAATATTTATAATAGTATTCTCAAGCTCACCCTGGATGTATTTTCCAGTGATCGAAATTGAAATAGTGCACAATAAATTATAACGTAATTATTTAATAAATCATAAATACGAATAATTTATTCAGGTACAGTCGACCTCCTCAAAATCGAATAGCATTGTGGTCGCTGAATATTGACCATAGTTGCTACTGTTACAAAATTTTATGTTTAAATTTTCTTTGTTATATTTTCTATATTGTATTAGTATTCCTTACTATATTTGTTAACGCTATTGTTATGGAAAGGCTGCGCATGGGTTAGAACCCAGATATTGGTTCGATCATAGATTTTGGTTTGAGGCCACGGATCTTGGTTCAAAACGACAGATCTTGGTTTAGATCATGATATTTTGAAATGTATAAATATGACGACTAGACCGATAAAGGGAAATAACGAATAATGAATCGGAATCGAATGGGATCGAGAGTTTGTTCGATGCATAATAAAATAATGTACCTTATGAATCGTATACCAACTAAACTACATTCCTTAATAAAACGCTGCCATTAAATCCGAATTCATTATAATATTCATCTCGTATAACCTATGCTTGTAATCCTGAGCTAAATTGACCATTCACTGCGATACTGAATCAAATCTGTCACTAATTTTTAAATGCAGATAAAAAGACGATGATTTTGATACTGAATGTCAGGAACTTTTTTCATTGTCTGTTTTAAATAACCAAGATCTCGTTTCAATTGATTCATATCAAATATCTCTTCCAACTCTGGAGTTAACTTTTCAAAAAAAAGTTCTAAGTCACTTATTCCATTTACAAGTTGATGATGCATCCCATTATATAAAATATAAAGTTCATCAAGTTCATTATAATTTTTTTTGAAATTATTTCGTAATTTAGTGATAGTAGTTAAAATCTTTCCATAACAATTTTCAAAGAATATTACGTTCTCCGGTGTGAGAACTTATTCAGTCTAATGCTATTGATGATAAATTTTAGATCCATGCCAATTTTCCTTAAGAACCCTATAACCAACAGGATACATTTTTCGATAGCCTTTCCTGAATGACTTATTTATCCCATGTTGATTAAGGTATTAGAGAGCTGTTTGGAGACAGTCCATTTCTTTTTATAATCTCGGCAAAGTATTGGATTATTGCTTGATATTTTATCATATCATATCAGAGGATGCTAATTTGAATTCTAAATACCATCTGACAAGTATTTGTTCAAGAATATTTATAAAGTAATTTACCTATGATATTAGGTTCAGAGAGTTGCCTAGAAATCAAGATGGCAGTGTTTGTAAGATTATAAAGATAGGCCAATCAACAGGTTGTATATAATGGTTTATATGTTAAGTTATGTGTTAAGTTACATGATATAGAGTTTAGCAGCAAATGAATTAAAATTTCAAACTTAGAATACAGTATTACCTAAAATGCATACTCAAAAATAATTCAAAAAACAACGATGACAACTAAAATGATCATAGTCATTTTAGCAGTTAATGTCAATGGTAGAATTTCTAGTAGCATCTTTGTCATAAGCTACGTTATTTGTTGTTGGCTGTGTAGTTGTACTGGTTGTATTTGTTGTATTAGTTGTGTGTTGGCTACTAAGGAGACAGTAATGTTCGGTTCACGAAACGAAGCTGAAAATGAGCTTTTTACTGCAAAATGAATTCATTTATGAAATGATGGTACAAGCAATATTAAATTAGTCGG